ACCTGTAAGTCACATCGAATCATTAGGCAGAAAAAATACATTTCAAGGAAACACTGAGCTCCTCTGCAGCACAAGCCTTGCACTGACACTGGCTTTGTGACATGAAGATAAGAATCTCAGCCTTCATGGATGAAAAACTCTTCAACAATATGAACTTATTTCTTCATTTCACCACAGGACAAAAACTTTTTTTGATCCTACATTGTTCTTGGCAGGGAAAACAAGAACACAGACTCCAAGGGGTGACAGCAGAAGCCCTCAGATATCTTACAAAGAGCAACACACATCAGTCCAGCGACCTTGAGGGCTTCCTCCAGGCCAAGTGATAAAGCAATTCAGGCATTTCAAATGTCTTGCAACAGCACACATTTACAACACCAACAAATTAGTTTTAACTTAAGGTACAGATGAAAGTGATAGAGCAGCTTTAATGTCAATAACACAGCAACCTTGCTGCTGGTGGAACACCAGAGCTCACACCCTGTCTGCAAGGGCTGGACAAGGAACAGTAAATGGGTTGCAAGTCCCATCCTGCACCAATCAGGCCCAGAGTGTAAGTCAGGGAGAGCAGCCACGAGCTCTTCAGAGCTTTGTGAGCATCCAGAGGGTGCCCAGCCCTGTCCTCTCCTGCCCCTGCAGCAGCATGAACCTGTCTCTGCACCTGTGCTGCCCACTGGAGCTGGGTGTGCCAGGTCCCCAGGAGGGTGTCGTACAGCTCGGTCAGCTGGCGATTCAGGCTCAGGTCACTCTGGCAAAGCTCCTGCCACACGGCCACCAGCTGCACCTGATGGGGAATAGAACCATCTGAGAAGAAAACTGACAGCTCTTGTTTTTGTTATGCCAAACCCAGCACTCCCCACACACAGCACTTCTGCCAAAACGTGAAGCTCACCCTTGCTCCCCTCTCCATGTTTCAGCCTAACACATAATTCAGCACCACAGAAGGAAAAGACTTTCAGCATGAAGCTTGAGGCTTCTTAGTGATTCAAAGATTTAATTAACATTGGTATTTTACTCATAAAATGAGATTGCAACTGATACCCCCACATAATAGTTGAAATACTTGGCAAGCCCCAGCCTTGAACTTAATCCTCAAAAGTCACAGTCATGTGAGAAATTTGAAGCTCAGGTTATGGCTACAGAACTGTCTGGAATTCCAGCTTTTAATCTTACCTGAAAAGAGTTTACAGAAGGCAGCAGCTGGTAAGTTGCAGTAATAAAGTTACTGCTGACATGGGCACATCCACAGAAAGCAAAGCAGAACCATGAGGGACAGAGAAATGGAGTAGACACACATATCCTGTGTGTGCTGCAGGAAGGGACACAAGGACCCAAATGGAGTCACCAAAGCTGGTCAGAGCCAGCAAGAGAAGTGGAAGAAGGAAATAGAGAGGAACAGGTGCCATCCCCCACCACAGCACAGCTGAGATCCGTGGGGCAGCAGCTCCCTCTGCAGCCAGAGCCCAGCAAGAATTCCGACTTTTATTGTGCAATGTTAAAACGTTACCAAAACACTTACCTTGTGACACTTGTAATAATAAGCGAGAAGCTGGGGCATCCGATCAATTTCAGTGAAGACTTTAACAAACATTTTTGCTTGATCTAAACAAAACAAAGAAACAGGCATCAGGAGCAGCCTCAAAGCTGAGGGTGGGACATCAGTTGAGCAAGAAATCCTCTTCTAAGGGAGCAGGCACAGTGGTCACACAGAAAGATACAACTTCATCTCTGGTTTGCTTATTTTCTCAAACTGGAGCAGAACTGCCTGAAATCCATCCTCAAACAAGATCAAGCAGCAGACACAAGGAATGAATTTAACTTAACCAGCACGCAGTATGAACACATTCAGTATTAAAGCCAGATAAAGCCAGAGCATTTCCTAGAAGGAAATAATTAGTTTCTAGAAACAAGCCAGCACTCACAAACCTAAAGATACCTGATAAAGGCCTCAGCTTTGTTTTCACCTGTCCTCAAAATGATCCCTGTGCCTCAGACTAACTCATGGCACAGCTGCCCCTGCACAGAGCTTAGAAACACAGGTTCCTCAAAAGTCTGGTTTGTACCCCATAGCCCCAGATCCCTCCAGGACCTCAAGGTGCACAAAGATGAGTGTCAACAACCACAACAACTACTTTTCAGAAGTGCTGACAGCAGCACAGGGAAGGAATGGCACAAAGAACTGCCCAAAAAGACAAATTTTCTAAGGAGAATTTATAAAGCTGCTTTTTACAAAGTAGTAGGAAGTCAGAACGCTTCTAAACAAATTTCCTTCCTGATTACACCAATACCTTGATAACAGAAAACCAGGGACCTTCTGCTTATTTGAGCAGCACCTCCATCTCACACATCCACATGGTCCATAAAATTCTGTAATCTTCTTGTTTCCTGCAGTGGCCACAGGTACCCCAAACCACAGGAAAATCAAAGTTGCACTGGCCTGCAGGCAGCTGCAGAGCCCAAAACATTCCAGGGCATCTGCTCCACCAGGAGAAGCCCAGGACCCAGTATCAGGAGCCTTCAGGATACCAACTCTCCACCCAAACCCTGTTTTAAAGACAATAAACTCTGTGCTGACAGTAAATGACACCAAGAGCTACTGACCTACAGACTGGGAGTTAAAAGCAGCAACAATCTGAGGGCTGGCCATGGCCTCCAGGCGGTTCTTCAGTGCCTCCAGGTGCACACACTTCTCTGAGTAATCTGGCGTGTCCACCAGCATGGCCAGGCTGCTCTGCATGCTCGTCAGCTTGGCTGAAATCAGGGACACGTCCTGCCAGCAGGGGAAGGCAGCCCGTTACCAAGGGCGACCTCAGACAGCGTCAGCAGCAGCGATGTGACTCACAGCCGCTTCAAAATCCCACTTTTAAACACAGTTCCTTGAAAAGCTGGAGGCACAAAGACCAAATAATTCAGTATTTACCTGTGTTTTAAGAGTCTCTTCAATATCTGCACTTAGTGTGCTCCATTTGTCAGCCTCCTGAAGTGACTCGGCAGCCAGCTGCATCCTGGACTTCACTCGGTCAATCTCTACCAGAACCTGAAGGAAAAAACACAATGCTACATCCCCCACTGAAAAAATGACTGTCACACACTTGGGAGTCATCTTCTGCTTAAATTTATTTTAAAAACAAAAAGGTGTGAAAACATTATGTTATTACAAGAAGACGGAATGGTCTGAAGGAGCTAGAGATGTAAAATCATCTTTCGAAGTCAAACAAGAGAAGGTTAGTTTAGGTTAGTTTGAATTCTGGTCTTGTTCTTTCGGTATCTACTTCGCCTGAAAATGCTCTGCACCCCAGGCAGAAAGCAGTGTCCCCAGGCAGGTACCAGCAGCTCTGAACTGACACCTGAGCAGCAGCTGTTCCTCAGACATGCACAGGCCTGTGTCACACCCACCTTCCCACCATTAATGTTAAAAGAAGCGGTTTTGTCGATCTTAAGTTCACAAGATCATTTCATATTAACAACTCTGGAACCTTTAGAATTTCACCAGTTGCAGCTAAACACTAAGACAAGAACTGACCTGCATAGACTGAGCTGTGTCTTCTTCAAACTTCTTTATATCTTCTTTAACAAGGATCATCTGCTCCTTCAGGAATGTCGCCTCCTGTTTCAAGACTTCCACCTCCCGCAGGACTCTGGGCATGTTCTGGAGAGCCTGATGGCTTGTTTCTGCAGGAACACAGAGCAGTCAGTGAGGGGGTAAGAGCCCTTGCAGGAACACGTGGGCTTTCAATAATCTTACCTAGTCTTTAGCACTTGAAATAACCCAAGACTAGACAAAAAAGCAAAACATCAAAGATAAATCTTCAGATGTATCTTTGAACTTTAAGTATGTATTTTATGATGGGACCATTTAGGTTTAAAAAAGCCCTCTGAGACCATCAAGTCCTGTCCTGCTCCCCCAGCACTGCCAAGGCCACCGCTAACTCACATCCCCAAGTGTCACAATCACACAGCTTTTTAATCCTTCCAGGGACTCCAACGCTGGCCTGGGCAGCCTGTGCCAGGGCTGGGCAACCCTTCTGGAGAAGAAATGTACCCTGCTACCCCATCTAACCCAGCGCTGGCAGGAGCTGCTGTTTCCCAGCACCTAAGGCGGATGTGTCGGTGAATAACCACGAGAGCCGAGGGGGGTGCGAGGATCCCCGAGGCCCGGGCAAGGCTGGCAGGGCCGGGATCGCCACCTGGGCGGCGGCACAGGTCACCTGAGGTGTGGGGACACACGGGTGCCGGGGACACACGGGCAGGGCCGGAGCACACCCGGCCCATGGCACCCGCAGAACCCCGCACCTTCCACGGCGTTGTTGACCTCCTGGATAAAGAGCTGCAGCTTCATCACCAGCGTGGCGGCGTGTGCGTCCACCTTGCCCGGGGCCTCCTGCTGCACGGCCCGGAACGCCGCGTTCACCCAGCCCTTCACCTCGAACTCGTCCGACAGGAACCGCGAGAAGTCCATCGCGGGGGACAGCGGGGGGACAGCGGGGGAACAGCGGGGGACAGCGGGGGGACAGCCGGGGACAGCCGGGGACAGCGGGGGGACAGCCGGGGACAGCCCGAGCGGCTGCGGCCCGGTCCCGCCGCGCACCCGGAAGCGCTCGGCAGCGCCGGGGCGGCCCCGGGGCGGTTCTGGGACGGTTCCGGTGCGATTCCAGAGCGGGTCCGGGGCGGTTCCGGGGCGGTC